GCAAATATACTTTATTTTCAAGGTTCAGTTATTGACTTGTTTTGCCAGTTTGCAGTGCATCAGTTTATAATATAGTGGTGGGTTGTTTCATGACATCATTTTTACGCAGGGTTAACAATTGTAATTTTGTTCTAGGGTTATGAGAGAATTTACAATGAAATTCCAGATATCAATCTGGATGTTCCACACTCATACTCTGTGCTGGAGAGATTTGTGGAGGAATGTTTTCAGGCTGGAATCATTTCCAAACAAGTCCGAGATCTTTGTCCATCAAGGTACTGTGTTTAAATACTACTTTCTCATTGTAAAATACTGAATGAGATAGTTGGGGAGCTAAGATAGTTGTGTGTGTGTTTGTCATTCTGCTGTCAGGAAAATGAAGTAGTGTCTTTCTTGAAGTGACTGGAGGCCAAGAACTGTCTACTTGTCTCCTTAAGAGTTTAAGCTTGCTTGTCCTCTTGCAACTGTGGCCAGGACTACTATTTGGAGGGAGCTAATTTTATACAGTGTAGATGTTTACCAGGATGTTAGTAAACGTTATTTCAGTGTAGATATTATCATCAGAAACACAAGAAAATTGGAGATTATTTAGTGAACCTTCAAGTTCTCATGACTAGTGCCTTGTATTGGCAAAGTGTGAATTTAGACTTTCTAGACTTAAGGTCTAAATGCTTTCCTGTACTTGGCAGTGGCTTTCTTTGCTTCACGTGATGAAGAACAGACACTTACTGTAGGACTGTTTTTCTCTTTAAGGAATTATATTTGTACCACTAGGATATAATTTAAAGAGTTGATAAGGGCTTTTCCCCTTAATAAGGCAGTAGGTGTAGCAAGTTAAAGACTTAGCTGTAACCAAACATGTTTTATATACATTTTTGTTCTTTTTAAGTCTGAAAAATGTAAGCTTTGAATTTTGTTTTGTGAAGAGTCTCAGAAAAACTACTACTAAAGTTTATAGGCTCAGAGAGAAGGTGGAGGTGTAGAAATCTCTGGAAATGCAAATCATGGCTAGATGCCGCATATACGTCACATAGCATCAGTGAAACCGCCACCTTAGCGGGTAACCCTAGCGAGACCTTTTGTCTTCACCATTTCATCTCACCCTGATCTTAGTGTAGTCCTCAGTTTAAGGACACAGAGCAGATTCCTGTCCCAGTACATTATGGTTGCGTTTTAAGATTCTTTTAAAGCTGTGTTTGAAAGTCTGGTTATTTTTATTGGGGGCTTTAATTCTGGAGTCATTGAAGAGTTCCTACAGTTGTGTAATATAATACCAAACAACTTTGACTTTTGTCATCATTAAGCTTTTGTGTTTGTGTGTTAAGTACACATGCATGTGTGATCTTGCATGCTTGGGGCAGAGAGCAGGGGCTAATTGGGTGATAGGTCTGCCTACACTTCCTGATGTAGGCTGCTGGCCAGGTGTTCTCTGGGGAGAGTGCTGCTGCAGTAGCTGGAGTGCAGTGGCTCTCAGAGGAGAGTTTCTTGAGTTTCCAAACCAGTCAGCCTTCCCTTAATGGGGCATATAGGGTAAAGAAATCAGATTTCCTTTGGTTGTCTACAGATTAGGACTTTTCTAAGGCTAAGGGAAATTTAGTTATTAAACATTTTGGTGATATTATTTGTTAACATTGTTTATGTGGACATGTGTGTTCATATCATGGTACATATATGGAGGTAAGAGGTCAACTTCTGGGATTTCCTTCTGTACCTCCACCATGATGGTCCCAGGATCGATCAGGTTTGGTGGCAAGAGGAGCCTTTACTTTCTTTGAATCACCTCCTGTTTGGCTCACTTGCTTTCAAATAAGGTAAAAATAAATACTGAAGTCTAAGTAAAATGTAACTTTAATTACAACTAATAGACACAGAAAATGCATTAGTAATTGTTTCTCTAAGCTCCTCATACTTGCTCTTTATCTGATGATTTTTAAGGCTAAGGTTTCTAGTAGGTAAAAAACATCCTTTCAAAGGAATTCAGACACGCTGGCCTTAAACAGCAGAACTCTTTATGTCTAAATGTATAAACATAGATGTCAAGGTTTTAATGTTTTTCGAGTCAGATTTTTACCTGCTTTTGTTTTTGTCCTTTTCATTTACAGGGGAAGAAAGCGATTTGTAAGTGAAGGAGATGGAGGTCGTCTTAAACCAGAGAGCTACTGAAGGCAGAGCTCTTACAGTCTTAGCTGGGATAGCGGCAGATCTGAACTGTAAGAGTTGTTAGTGCAGGTTTTTTTTTTTTTGGGGGGGGGGGTACAAGGCATTTGTGAAATTTTATAAACTTACATTTAATGGGGATTTTTGAAGGAAGTATTTTTTTTCTTTTTTTTTTTCTTTGAGGGGAAACTAAAGGAGGGACAGAAGAGTAACCACTTAAATGTGGAATATTCTGATAAGCTACTTTTTCTAAGTGCCATGTTTATGACCTAATCATTCCAGGTTTTGCATTGACGTCTGACTGCCACTCCTTTCTTTCAAGGACAGTGGTTTTTTTTTTTGTAGTAAAATCACTGGTTTATACAAAGCTTTAGTTAGGGGACAAGTGAAGCTACTAAGCCCCATGTTGGCTGCTGCTGTGGAAATGCTGTGCTTCGGGAATAAACACACACATACATACTCACCCTACACACATCTTTAACACACACACACACACACACACACACACACACACACACACCCCCACACACACTTTTGTCTTAAGAAGAATTTTTAAAAGACGAGTTAGTCATGAGACTTTTTCATCTTTCCAGGGAACATATTGATTGGTCTTAAATACTAGACAGTTAAGTAAATGGTGGCTGGAACATCTATTTTTCTACAAAACTGGAAAAATGAACCTGGTTCTACAAGAATGTACAACAAAATAAAACGTGAAGCAGTGTTGATTCTTTAGTTGGGAGTACATTTTGTGTGTTGAAAACGTCTTTTAGGTTTCCTGTCTAAACTTCATTAGGCCTTGTGTTCATTCCCAAAGTGCAGGACAAACAAAAATGCTTTGTTGTTTCTTGAGACAGAGTCTTGTTATGTAGCTCTGGCTGGCCTGTGTCCTCAAACTCATGGTAGTCTGTGTCTAACTCCATGTCCGAGTGCTGGGAATAAAGGCATGGACCATCATGCCTGGCTTTCATAACAAGTACACTTGAGCTTAGTGAATTAAAGTTATTACAAACTCTTTTTTTATTTTAACCTTCAAACTTTAATAATAATAATAAAAAATAGGACTAGAGAGATCACTAAGCAGCAGTGAGCACCTGCTGCTCTTTCATAGGACCCAAGTTGGATTCTTAGCACCCACATCGTGCAGCTCACAACCTTCAGGAACTTGAGTTTTCTGGGGTATCAGATGTCCTCTTATGACTTCTATGAACACCTGCATATAGGTGGCATAAACACAAGACACTTAAAAATCTTAGAGCAGTGTAATAGTTGAAAAGCCTTTTAAGGTTACACTAGGGACATACATGCACAGTTTATCTTTGTTTATTGATCTGAGCTGGAGTTGAATAAAGTTTGTTTAATATATAAACAGCTCTTATCTTTAAATTTTGTTGACGTTTAAAAAAGTATTCTCCTTCAGAAGGAAAACATGCTCATTGCGTAGTGGCTCGACTTACCTTTCACTCTTCTGAAAGGGGATTCGGATCCACAAAGCTGGTCTCTGGAAAGCAACATAAGCCACGTTGTTAGCCTAGAAAAGCGTTTCCCAAAGCAGGACAACTTCAGCTCATTAGTTACAGAGGATGGTACTTCTAGCAGTCAGAAGTTGAGGTTAAGTTTTACTCAGCACAAGACTTCCACAGTTGATGATTCCACGGGAGAGTGTGGCTTATTCGGAGTGGAATGTCTGTCTCCAATTCAAGGCAATGATTTCCAAGGCTCTATCACACATGACTTTAGTGACAGCAGTTTGTGTTAGTGATGAGAACACATGTCCTGAACTGGGCTCCTCTGGTAGCCAGACAACCTTTGGAGCAGAGGCAACCATGTATGCAACTCCAATAAGTAGTCTCATATCAAAAACTAGATTTAAGGGGAGCCAAACGCTTTCTTCTTCAGCAGAAGTGAGAGACAGTGTTTCAACACCTGGAGACAGTGGTTTTAGCTCCCTTACCTGGAATAAGTTGGAAGATTCCATTTCTGACCAAGAGGGCTTTTTGCAAGAAGAACTGTTTCAGAAGGGGATCCCCCAGAATGGGAGACCTTGTAAAAAAGCCAAAGCATCCTGGAAGGTTGAGGAGGCTGTCCACTCTCCGGGAGCAAGGCTCCCAGTCAGAAACGGAAGATGAAAAGCAGATGGTTACTCCCAACTCTGAAGTAAGAGTGGGTGCTGCTTCAGTCACCTCGGAGGGTTAGCAAGGCTCCAGTGAGAAGATCAGGGATTGGACTTTAAGCTTTAAGAACTTGTCAAAATACCCCAGCCTCCTGTTAGTTCATGAGCTCTTTATGAAAAGCAAAAAGAAGAGATTCTAGTAGGAAGATGACCAGGCATTCTTTGAGGAAAGGGATGAGGAAACAGACTTCAGCATATTCTGGCAGGACTGATTGGCAAGAAGATGGGCATAGAACAGCTGGATATCTTGACAGAATTACAGTATAGAAATTTGAAGCATATTTTAACTATGGTTTTAGATTCCTTGACTTCAGAGAGTTTATTCAGGTAAGAAATAAAAGTTGCTCATGGAAGAAAAAAGTATTCTCTTAAGTATTAAGAAGTATTCTCTTAAATCAAGTATTCTACTTAAAGCTTTACATTTATCTAAATATCAATATGTAATTACCAATAAATAAGTTACTTTAAAGGGAGATCATATTTCTAGCCTCTTTTATAAAGGCTAATTACTTAGTAAGGTTTCAAAGTCTGTGGCAATTGAAGAAGTCTAGTGACTGCAATCAACCATTATATTTACAATTTCCAAAATATTTTCTTGGTTACAAGGCTAGGTAGTCTTTTAGAAAGAAAACCCTCTAGTGTTTCTTAAAGCTCATATTTATTTTATTGGTTTATTACTGTGATGGCTAAAATAAAGCATTTCTAGGTTTTTGTATTTGGTAATCAATACTTTTGTAATTCTCTATTTCTTAAAATTAGTGTAATTAAAAGCTAAGTTGACTCCAAAATAGCTGAAAGTTTTTTAAAAATCAAATTTGTTAAGAAACCAGTTTTGTTACTGCTGTCATTATGGTCAGTCTACATACCATTAAGGATGACATGGTACATAACTGGTTAAGTTTGTTTCTGGGTAACACTATATTCAAGAATAGTTTATTTTTAGATTTAGGTGTCTAAAAAGATGAGGAATCCATCATCCAGAAAAGATACATCTAATCTCTAACACTACTACAGTAGGTAGGTTGAATAAGGTAATTTATAATTTTGAAAACCTTTTTAAGATCCCATAAAACATCATTCAAAGTTTTCTTTTTAATACAAGCCAATGTTTAAGTTCCCAAATTTTATTTTTTAAAATTATGAATGTCCAGTTTGATTATGTATTTTCAGCCTATAGATGCAGAATAGTTTCTAGTTCCCGAACAGGTGAGATGGGTTGTCCCCTTAAAGTGGTACTAGTCAGTGGGCTATTTGCTGGTCTTCTTTTTCTGCCATTTCTTGTTGGCGGATTGTATCCTGTGCTGCTTGCTGCATTTTCTCTAGTTTTTCCAGAGTCAGAGATTTTAAGGGTAAAAGCTTGGGTTTACACAGCACCATTGTGGTTACATCTTCTACAGACAACTGCCCTATTAATAAGAAATAAGAAATTAATTTGAGGAATGTAGACAGAAGTTTTTGTCCCATCCAGTCCCGCAGATGCTCAGTCACAAATAAACACAGATAAATAACCGTTTATTAACTATAAATGGTTTGGCCTATTAGCTCAGGCTTATTATTAACTAGCTCTTACAATTTAAATTAACTCATAATTCTTATCTATGTTTAGCCATGTGGTTTGGTACCTTTTCTCAATGCAACATTTTTATCTTGCTTTCTCTGTGTCTGGTTGGTGACCGCAGACTGAGCCTTTCCTCTTCTCAGTTATTCTAGTCTGGTCACCCAATCTATACTTCCTGACTGACTACAGGCCAATCAGCATTTTATTGAACCAATAAATCTTACAGGGTACAAGAGCATTATCCCACAGCAGAGGAAGATGCTTGGTGGTTTTGATTTGTAGCTAGAATGTAAGTCAATGAAAAAGTTTCTGTTCCTAGACTGACAAAGCAGTGATCCCACAAGCAACATTTCTTAACACTACAGAAGGGTCAGGAAACAAGAGCTGGACTTCGATATACCATAGCTTTTTGGACCAAATGTTTAATTGGAGGAATATATACACAACACAGAAATACAGCAAGGTGAAATATTTAACGTGAGTGCTCAAATTATGAATTATTTAACTGGAATGGTTAGCTTTTCTCACCAGAGTATGACTTTAGGTTACTTTCCCCATATTTTCAATCTTCCTTTAAATTCCATTTCACTGAGAATTTCACATTGTATTCTGCACTGAGGTACAACAGGATTTTTCTTTTTTTTTGAAATAGGTTTTCTCTGTGGCTTTGGAGCCTGTCCTGGAACTAGCTCTGGTAGAAGACCAGGCTGGCCTCAAACTCACAGAGATGCACCCACCTCTTCCTCCCAAGTGCTGGGATTAAAGGTGTGTGCCACCACTGCCTAGCTCAGTACAATAAGATTTATAGTTACAAGAAACAGTACTTAATTTGGTATCCTTTGTTGAGAAAAGTGAGAATTTCTTTTACAACCTACTCATGAAAACAAAATATAAGTGAGAGTGGACTGTCATAACCCGGAAGATGTAGGCACTTAGCTATTCTGCTGTGCTATACCCATCACCTGATAAGTCTCTAGTAGTCTACAATGAAATACTTGTGAAATATACCTTGTTTTGGAAGGACTTCCCGGAACATCGACTTCACTTCTGCCATCTATAACTGCTGGATACGGTGCTTTTGCTCCTTCAATGAGAAATCAGTTACTGACATTAAAATTCCCAAAGAATTCCTGGCGACCATAGCTGAAACAAATACTACAGAAAGTGAAGATTTCCTGTAAGATTTCCTGAGCAGTTTTCTGTGGTTCTCTGAAATAAGGCTGAGACATTTTACATGTATCTAGATCTTGTCAGTCTTTAGTCAATAGTAACTGGAATGCTAAGCATTCTAACTTCTTATCCTAGGAAAAAATTTGTAAAACTTCACTTCTCTTTTTGCTTTTACATTTTTTTTCTATTTTGTTTTTTGAGACAGGGTTTCTCTGTGTAACAGCCCTGGCAGTCCTAGAACTCATCTGTTGGCCAGACCGGCCTCAAACTCACAGAGACCCACCTACCTCTGCCTCTCAAGTGCTGGGATTAATAGTGTGCACCACCATTGCCTGACATACTTTCTTTTTTTAAAAAAGGAAATCATTCAGTTGAGAAAAGGTATATAGTAAGGCTTCTTAGTTCACTGACAGCTTCTTTCTTGAGAAGGCACTAACACCAATCTACCACTGAAAAGGGGTGAGGCGGAGATGACGAGGTGGTAATAGGCAACATTTCCTAACATTCAATTCTGGGTTGCTCAGCTGTAACCTGTAAGAAGCAACATAGTGGGTAAGCAAGCTATGAAATAGACATGAAGCATGCTTTAGTAGTTCCACTGAGATACTATATGCTAAAGGACCAGGATACACGTTCCTGTAGTATTATGGCTATTTAAGCCAGTAACACTTGTTGCAGATTACAGATATACTGTCTGCTCTAAGTTCCTGGATCAAGTTGTAGATGGTGCCTTTCTAAATACGGTTTTCTAGACAGTGCCACCCATTCAGTGATGTTTCACTACACTGAGGCAACCTTACTATGTCTTTCACAATGTTACTTACCAAGATTTATTATTTATAAAGTGATGCTGGCTCTGTGCCTGCTTTTCCACCCACTGCAAATTAATTATAACCAAATGAAGCTGCCTTTGTTCTTTGTCATTCTTGTTCCACTCCTTAGACATTCCTAATATAAGCTTTCTACTTTATGTTCTTCAACTGATTATCTTCTCCTTCAAATTACTCTGGAATGTCTAGGTTCCTGAGAACCTCTGTTTTTCAGAACTCCTGTCTTCAAACTTTATTCCTGTTCTCTCTCTGTTCTATCAGGGACAGTAGATGATATAAGGAGTAGGCCAGGAAAGCAACTCTTCTCTAAATGGAGTGTGAGGTAAGTATACCATGCAATTTCCTTAGAATGCACAGCCCCAAATACATTTTTCCTTTCTATTTAGGCCCGAAACTCAATACTCAAGCCTTTTTCTTCAATGTAGGGTGGAAGACTGATAGCAGTGCATATCCCTACTTAAATCAATATAGCTACTGAGCCCCCTTGTATCTCCATTAAAAACATCACAATGAAAATCCCGTGCCTGCATCAGATTTGACATGCCACTGAAAAGGATGGGCATTACTCTGAGAAAAGTAAAGCACAGTAACTAGTTTCCTACATACAAGCAAGATGCTGCCTATCATGGTAGGTTAAGTTTTAGCTGTTTACAGAAAGAGCAACTCTAGCTTTGTATAATTACATCACTACTCTTTGTTTTCCTTTGGTTTTTACCTCTTACACATCCAAAATACAAGAGGAAAACAATGATACTTGGTATTCATCTGTTTGACTGAGCGATTGTTAGTGGAAAGGGTGTGGGGCTAAAGGACTGGCAAAGAATGTGTTGACACTGGTGAGGGTAACATCAGTGCCCTCGTTTGCTTAGGCGGTTTCTGCTTTAGTAGGACTGATTCTTGTTCTAGGCCCCTTAGGCCTTGACAGGAGAGAAACAGGAAGGGAAGGGCTAAAATAAGCAAGGTGGAGATCTAATGGCTAGCTGGCCAGGATATGCACTTTGGATAATTGCCCTGGGAGTCTAGAGTAAGAAGGAACATTCTTTTCTTTCTTTTTTCTCACAGCAGTCTGCTATTCGCCAGACACAAGTGTTTTGTAGGGTGTAGTGATTTCTAAGGAGTTGTGGCTACTTCTAAGCAGAGTATCAATGCAGATGGGATGTATACAAAACCAGAGATGGATGGATCAAAAAAAAAAAAACATATTACTGAAATGTGTATTGTAAAACTGCCATGAGGGCCTACCATATGCCAGACAGTGTTCATCAGTGAACAAAAAAATCTTTTGCCTTTTGGAGCCTACAGCTAGGGATAAGGGAAGAGAAACAACAGAAAGTAGCTTAGTACAGATAGAAGTTTAAATTGAATGCTGGAAGACGGTAATCCAATTGTAATAGGAAAATCATTAGGATGACACTTTAAGCAAAGACTGTTTTTATATGTGTAAGTTTATGTGCTACACTTTGGAAATGTGGACAAATCAAAAAGCCTGTTAACTTCCACAGCGAAACAAGGCTTATGGAAATGAGCACCCTCTTTCAATTTTTTTTTATAGAGCTACTTTGCTTTATCTACTAAAACCAAGTATTTGACCTCAGAGCTATCATACTTATGAAACTACAGCAGAAGTTTATGAGTCGGGATGGCCACTCAGCATTGCATTAAAAATGACATTGACGAGCAACATGTTCAGCAATACTGAGCCCACTTGTTCACCAACTGGCCAAGAGATAAATTATGGGTTATGCACAGACTAGAATGCTATCTCAGACTAAAAAATGACCCAGATTGTGATGGCATATTAAGACAAATATTAAAATGAAATAGATGTATTCTTACCATATTGGAACCCATCTATATAGCAAGACAGGGTTTCCTTGTAGCGTTGGAGCCTTCCTGAAACTCGATCTGTAGACCAGGATGGCCTCGAACTCTGCTTCCTGAGTGCTGGCATTAAAGGTGTGCGCTGTCACCACCTGGCATGTTTAACACTGCTAAGTGCAGTGTCACTAAACTATTGTTTGTCTTCAGACAGGGTAACTGGAAAATACTGTGCTGTTTCCTTCCCTTTTTAAAGTTTGTAATCTCTCGGAGAACATAGTTCTGATGGGCAGTGTACTTTAAGATCCTGAGAAGTCAAGCAAACCTACCACAGTAATGGATGTCTAAAATGAATGCAAAAGAACTCAAAGAAAAACGTTTGTCATATGATATTTTACTGTTTTTGGAGCACTGAAAGACTTGTCTAAGAAAGATGCTTTTAAAATCAGTCATGTATTTGGACAAGCTGGAAGAGGAGATCACCAAAGTGTCCTTTTTACCTTAAGAATGCACATTCCCTTCAGAGTCTTACCTGCAATTCATCACGACATGTTTCTAAATCAACAAATATTTTTCAGTTGTAATAGTTACAAAGGACATGATTTCTACATACTTAACATCAATTTTTAAAACCAATGTAAACAGCAATTTGGTAGTAACATTTTAATAAAAAGAAAAAGTTCTTAGAGCTTTTATATTATTCATTTTAATCCCTAGATCTCTTTATATTTTTTTCTTTTTGATTTTTCGAGACAGGGTTTCTCTGTGGTTTTGGAGCCTGTCCTGGAACTAGCTCTTGTAGACCAGGCTGGTCTCGAACTCACAGAGATCCGCCTGCCTCTGCCTCCCGAGTGCTGGGACTAAAGGCGTGCGCCACCACCGCCCGGCTTAGATCTCTTTATTTTTAACACAATTTTAATCTAATGTAACATTTTCATACTTGGTATGTTAACTGATCGTACTAGCATATTAGCTGGTTACAAAAATTTAAATAAATTAATAAAATTAAAACTTTAAAGTACACATTGTTAAAATTATTGACCACACATCTTTTACTTAGGACTTTTTTCCTCAGGAAGTTTACATATGCTTGGCCGAGAATTTATTGGAATCTGACTTTTCATTTATATAGGCATAAGTACTGAGATGGGAATGGGAAAAATTTTTGTTTGAACTTGTTATATATGACCTATTAATAACAAATTAGTAAATTAATTTTTCCTCATTGTGTATGCCAGGCTAGCATTTCACTACTGAGCTGCATCCTTAGTACCTACACTTCCTTGTGTAGTTTTGGAAGTTGAGCACTGAGCATTTCCTTTTGTGAAAGCTCAGCATTCCCTAAGAATCCCAAGTCCTTAGTCTTGAAATGTGCTTTATTTACTGTCTCTGGTACTCAAGAGATTTTGGTCCTTGAAGTATTTCATCGCAGTAAAATTCTACACTGGCTAGGAAAATGCCTTTTTCTTTTTCTTTTTTGTTATGTGATTGTGAAGGCAGGGGTAGGTACAGGAAATTAGACTAAGCATAGTTAACTATTGGCTCCTTTTTTTTTTTTTTTACAGGAAATTAAGCCTTAGAGACTTCACATGGAAGTTAATGGTCTACAAGTTCACTATTCTTAGCCTTGCTTGCCTTCATTCTGCCCTGATTGTCTGTAGGTGTCTTGAAGCATATGTGTAACCTCACATAAATACTACTCATTTGTAAAATCACATTATGTTGTACTTAGAAATATTAATAGATTTTCTGAGAGAATTTTATAGTTAACTAAAATTTGAGATGCTCTATGAAGGAAAAGTTATTTTCCTTTTTAACATCAAAACTTTCTTGAAACTTAAATGTAATAAAGTATGTAGAATTTGCAGCAGGAGAACTGAAAATGTATTATTTGCCAAACTTATTTGATCCTGGACTCCTTTAAAAAATGCTTACATGGTATACAGCCTGTAGATGTGTGGTAAGACACATGATAGGCGGAGCACACTCCAAGGAAAACACCATTATTTACAATATAATAAAGCTACTTTGAAATCACCCTTTTCCTGAATAATTTATAAAGATCAATTCAATATGGTTTATCTTCTTTCATTAGTAAGTGGAAAGTTCAGACACTCTTGGAAAACACTGTCTTTTAAAGGAACTACTTTAACATGAAAAGAGAAATATCTTGCAGAGTATTTGAGAAACTGGCAAAAATAACAGCTGTTTGCTGTTGGCTGTCAGAATAGCATTCTATGACACAAGCCCAGCATGGTGACAGTTG